TGTGCAACCTCATATCATCTATTCAATAAAAACCCAAGCCCAGTGTCAAGCCTAGAGGCAAGGACTGTAATGAGAGCAGTGCAGAATTTAAATACGAGTCTGGGCGATAACTGTAGGAGCTTGCACAATAAATGTCTCCATGAATGGTCTCCAAAAAGGAGAGGGGATAGGAACCCTAGAGAATCAGATTACTTAACGATACAGCACAAATATATTAGTAAAGCAAGTACTTAAATGCTCTGACATTAAATAAACTGAGTTTCAGTGACGGCCTGATCCGGATTTAGCTTCTTCCTACCTGAAACTACAACTTGCTAAACCAAAATGAATTAACATTTAAAGGAGTTACTCATCTGGCAGCTAAGGAGCAATTTGTAAGACACTGAAAAATTACAGGCAGTGTCTAACTCTGGAAATCTCCTCAAATATATCCTACAACCTATGGTTAGGCTTTTTTTTTTTTTTTGGAAATGCAATTATATTAGAAAATACTGTCCTCTTAAGCTTCAATGATCATTTTCCAAATTCCTTATATGATCTCATTTAAACAGTATCTTTCACTCTTTCAAAAAATCCCAGTGGCATGTAATAATAAATAAAAAATGAGAGATTATAGTTCAGATGGGCAGGTAAGGATGGATTTACAACTTCAATCAATACAGTATTTCATGAGCATCAGCATATAACGATGCTCTGTAGTACTACATGGCCTTAAGAGCTACCAGTTTTCAACTATTTAACCAGGAGAGAGAACCTCTCTGCCTTTATTACACAGATTTTGCTTTTACGCAGCTACTGAAGCCCAACTAAACACTTTAATGTGTGTAATTAAAGGAGAAATGAGGAGAAATTAAAGGAGAAATTAGGAGATAAAACCTTTTTTAATATAGCTACTATATATATATTGCTAATATACATAAGCAATATTATGTATTATATTGCATATAGCTAATATATCTATAATATATATATGTTGCATGTAACACAGCGTTCCCTTCTTAGGACCCACTCTGACAGCCAGATAAAGCCAGACAACCAACTGACAATGACTACAGAGGTAAGGTGTCATCAGTTTGTTTCAACTCAAAGTATTCAGAACAAATTATACTGCCCATTTAGCTGGAAAGGATGATTACATAATTTTTAAAAATCCCTCCATATTGTCTGTTTCACTCATTTCACTGACTGAATTCAGTTTTGCTCTTTCTAGACAGGCACTGCATACTGTGCTGCAGATTTCAGATGCCTGTCTGACAACTCCTGCATTGGCATTCCAGTCCTGTGGGGAACCTTGGCATAACCACAACACAAATCCTTAAATCCCTGAACACTACGAATGTAAAACTTTGCCTAAAACCGATGTGATGAATTTAGTCTCAAGTCCACAACAGAGCGCGGCAGAATTTTGCAAGGAAACCCAGTTTCTCTTCTGAAATGCAGCCGGCATGTCTGAAGGATAAGTGGATCTATAGTTAAGACCAAGCAAAGCAGGAATCACTGAGCTCTGCTGTATGGACAACAAGGAAAATATGTGATTTAAGTGCAACTGCCACAGTCCAGAATCAAGCATCGTGAAGCAATTTATTCCTCCTTAGAAGATGATGTATCAAATTGACTAAATACAAAGATATAGTGATAGTTCATAGAGAGATAAGAATTAACAATACTTTAAAATGTAATTTAATGAAAATTTCTCCTTGGGTAGGATCATAAACCACTTCAGTCATCAGGTCATTTTCCTTATAATTGCAACATTTATCCCCTGTAAAACAGTGTAAATCACGTGCCACTACTGGGTCTAATCACACTAATAAAGTAGTGGTGTATTCATTTATGATGCACATCGAACAAATAAATGATTTTAAAGTTAGTGGTGGGGGGAGGAGGAACCTAGGGCAAAGCCTTTACATATACTGAGTTGAGTACTCAAATGCATAAGTGAAAAACACATGGGGTCTGCTGAGCCCATTAAATTGTGACAATTTAATACGAACCTAATGAATTCACTTAAGTTTCTCCTGACATACAGAAGCACATTTTAATCAAGAAGTGGTTTCTATGAGTGCATGAATTGTGTGCTGCCACACACCCATCCCTCTACCCATTTGCACCTACAGACATCAGAAGAAACAGTAGCAAAAAAGAATAGCAATTTTTAAACCTGATTGCCCAACCTGTTTCAAGAAGTTAATATTAATTCATATTTAACAGTAAATATACTCAGAGAGAATAAAAATTATGAAGGATCAAGGGCTATAATTTTAATGAAACATGAAAAGAAATGGTGAGAAATGTCAGCACAAGTTTAAATCCTGTGAAGCTACTCTTTGAAGTGCACAATGCTTATTTACACCGATTTTCTACTGTGTATACGAGTTTGCCCTGTCCTTAGCTGAAAGGAGAGTTGCACACAAGAGGGTCTATGCGCTTGCTTTGGTGGTTGGTTTTATTTCTTGTGTCTTTCACATGTTCCCTCCTTTCCATCTTTGAACCAGACATGCTCGAATGCTCAATCTCCATTTGTCGTGGCAGACTGAAATGTCACTGCACGTCTGTCCACAGAGAATCCCTGCCAGTGCCAATTACTGTTCCAGACCTATGTTTTGCTGATGCTTGGGTGCCCCGAATCCTGCATCCCCACGTCCTCTTCATTGGAGAGGAACAGGTGACATGAGCAGCAAAGCCAGACACCAGAACAGACGTCAGGTCAGAGCCACGCATGGCCCAGCAGTAAGGTCACAAAACACAGGATGCTTAGCAAGTAAAGCACAACAAACTGAACCAAGAGGTTGCTCTGATTACAGAGGTGCTCAGTGTGCACCAACGCAGACAAGCTAATCTCCATGTCTAAACCCCGCTGCGTGGTTTATAACTAAGTGACCTACATATTTTGCTTTCTGTAGGCAACTACATCTTTAAATATGAAATTTTAAATCTATGTGAGTGAGGGAGAAAAAAGAAAGAAAATCTTTATTGAGTTTCCTTTTCCTTTGATGTCTAACTTTGATTAATAGGAAAATAGGCAGGCATTTTGCTGTTGTTATGCTCTACTAATATTCTGTTTTAAGAAGAAAACCGTAAAACAGTTAAAAGAGAGAACTGTGAAAGGCTGTAACTGATAATTACCACTCTTCAGAAAGATTTTAACTCTGCACCTCAGGATAACATGTCCATAATTACCTAAATCACATTTGTACAATTGAGTGCAGCGGCTCAGATTAACGTGCTGAGAGCCCCATCAGCAAACAGCCTGTTTGAAAGATCTGTGTAGACAACACAGAACACATAGAAACAATCTGAAATAACAGGCTAGTTATTGCAAATATGAATTTAAAGCAAGTAAAGTGCCTCCAGCATGGCCAAGGACACCCTTAGTTTCCACCAGCATAGTGAGAAGAGACAGCAGTAAGAACCTTGCAGAATCCATGTGGAAGAAAATAATTCTTTCCCAGTTGCATAAAGGCATGAATGAACGTGAACTTCATTTACAAGCAAGGATCTCCATTTAGATGGTGCTGGATGGAACCTCCTTATCTAGCCTACATTAATACTATTTTACTACAGAATCAGGAGTCTGGAGTCTCAAGGCCTAACCACATCTGTAGAAATTCCACGACCAGTATATGGTACCAAGGAGTAAGGTTTGGTCCTGAAAAGCTCAGGAATAGGAGAGACAGTATAGATTATTGGATACCTGCTCCCTTCTCCAAACAGAGCAGTAGCATGTTTTCCTCAGCCACAGGGATGAGCTACCTTGCCAGCCATCAGGCATCTAAGGGAAGGAAGCAAGCTGGCAGCACTTTGTGCAAGTTGAAACCTCCCACAGTGCTCTGGCTCCAGAGAGCTTATTTAATTTAAAAAACAAACAGAAAGTGTACTGGCAAGAGTGCTTATTTACAGATTGCATCTCTCCCAGACCCCAGAGGGAAGGGAGAGCACATAAGGATCTGGGTTTTTTTCCTAGGCAGGCACAGATTTACTGGAAACAAGAAATTGCAGCCTTCTCCCCTCCCTGACGTTTGGGAGGTTTGGTGCAGCAGCACGTTCACGCTCACGGCAGATGCTACAGTGGTGGCTGTGCAGACACATGCATCCATCCGGGCAGGACTGCGTCCCTTCCTCCATGCCCAAAGATGGAGTTTGTAGTGGTATCACTGCAACTTGTGTTAAAATACCCAGTCACATTTTCCCCTGTGAACCTTCTTCACCCTCACGCATCTGTACCGAGACACTGAGATCCCGGGAGGCACTTCCCAGTACGTGGGGCTTTGGTCTGGCACTGGACTTGGTACCGCATTAAGATCTGATCCAACATAAAGTGGTGGTGTAAAGACAATCAAAAGTTCCAAAGCAATAGAGATAAAAATGTACCATTTGCTACTACAACTTTGAACTTACATTGTAACTACCTTCACTTTCTTCAAGGAAGGACCTAAGGAAACAGTGTAACTTCCGTATGAGGAATGCTTCTCCGTGCTTCCAGATCCCACAGAAAACTGTAGGTTTGATGGGCTTTTTGCATTCTGACAATTTTGGACCCACCTGCCAGAATACCTGGTACTGAAGAATAGGGAATCAGTGTAGCTCTGCTCAAAGGATAGAGGGGAATTGTTTCCATTCAGAATTGAATTGACTTGATTGGAATGAATTGTTGCAGATCTTTGTGAAACCCTCATCATAAACATGAAAAAACATAGAGTCTGTAACAGTCAGCTTTGGTTTTGCATTTAAAAAGCTATGCTGAATAAAAGCAAATCTATCACTTCATGCAAGGCAAATATTGATCATTATTCTTAGGCAAAGAAATTCATTACACTGTTAATACCGCTAGCCACCTAAGTCATGGAGCCAGGGTTGCTGGAATCTCTTCACGTTCTGCCAACACACTTGTGGCCTTGAAGAGGCAAAGGGTGAAAGACCTTGAACAACAACTCTGCCCTCCCCAAGGGAAAACTGGAGATCCTTACCTGTTCCGAAAGAGGGGTTGCGTTTTACTCAGTACTTCAAAAAATGTGGCTTTACAGCATGAGAACTAAAAGCTCTTTAGGTTATTTTATTTTTATTTTCTACTAACACAGAGTGAATCGATCAGCACTGTATATTGATTCAGTGAAAAAAAAAAAAAGAAAAAAAAGAGGAATAAACCAGGAATATTATGGAAACACCGTTATATACAACACAGAACCTGCCCTGCTTTAAACTGGTTTGGTTAAACCTGTCCAAAAATCTGGACAAAAATACACCTGGGTTTATCTCAGCCCAATCAGGAACAGATTGAACAACATTAGAGGCACTGTTCAAACCAAGGCAATGGCATGTGTGGAGAAGGCTGTAAGAAACCACGGGGACACCATTCTACAAGCCCTGTAACAGGGTTTTGAGGGCTGAAGCTGGCATCCTCACCTTTTCAATTCTTAGCGTTGATGAAGTTCTTTCCTCCTAAACCCAGAAAGAATACACCCAGGACAATCCAGATCACCTGTGACATTACTGAGGCTTAAGGAGCAAAGGGTCTAAATCACTTCTTAATTAGAAGCTGAGGGGAAGTGGAAGGGGGTGTCATTAGGCAAACAAAGCCGAGCACCTACTACAATAGGTGGTAAGGAGACTATTAGTCTCTGCTAAGTACTTCTTCAGCGGGAACCAGGAAAAGCTGTTTAGGAGAGAAAAAAGGGATTTAGCATGAACATATCCCTCCCTCTAAAGATGTGCTAAACTCAGTAGCAAGGCTCCTGGAGTTAGTAAAGGGATAGAATTTACATAAAAAACACCCTGTGCTTTCCCCTTAGTGCCCCCACGGGCCGCTCGGGTTTTAATGCAGATGTTAACGGAGATCCCAGCGCAGCACGGCGTCCTTGGAAAAACGCCTCTCCAGCCCTTGGAGTGCAACGAATCGGTCACTTCTGGTGTTCTCTTGCAGTTTTGAAAAGAAATAACCGAATCCTGGAACTATTTGACCTGGCCTTGTTGCTGCCGACATCAGTTTTGACTGTACAGGCAGCAGTGTGATCCGGAAAATCGGGGTGTTCCTGGGGCTCGCGCTGCCACTGAGGGTCTGCTCGGAGAAGCCCCTTTGCTGTTTTGGTTGGGATGGTCTTATCTCGGGTTTTCAGCTGTGGAATAGATAGAGGAAGGTATGCTGACTCCGAACACCCTACTAATCCTTGCCAGAGAGCAGTTAAGGCAGCATTCCCAAAGCCCTTTGGCTGTTCTGTTCCTCACTTCTGACCAAGCTTTTTTTTCCCTTTTAGTTCTTTAGGGTTACACATGAACCTCTTGACCTTTTTCTGGTTTATGGTGTCAGGGAGGCTATTTCTCTGGCTCATCATTTAATTTAAAACCTTATCCTGAGGCTGCCTCCTGGAGAGCTTTCCGTTCGTGTCGAGGCTGCCGGGAGCTCCACAGGCAGTGCAGGCTGAGGCCTAAGCATACTGTCAGCTCACACAGTCCTTCACCGTTCTAGTTCTGAAAATCTACAGTCGCGACTTGTCGTGGTTTAACTCCGGCTAGCAAAATACCACGAAGCCGCTCTCACATCATCACGTTTTAGTAGAGGAGAGACTTGCTGATAAAGCCACCTATTCTCCATTGCTAGCGCCCGAGTCTACTAAACATAAAATACATCTTCCTAAGAGCACATGTGACACGAGTTGCTCTGTATTTCCCAGAATGAAGAGCATCAGGAAGGGATTTGTTTGTCCATTTGTCGTTGAACTGACACGAGGTTTTGTCATGATGTGCTATCAAAATTGGCCATTTAACCAGATAAACTGCTCCATGCAGCTACAGATTTCCCTAAGCCAACTGCAAACAACAGTTACTTTATAAAAAGAAGCCATTTTCTAGGTTCTTTCAGCAACTCAAGTTTAAACCTAACTTTAAAAGCACCATTCCAGCGGCAGGGCTGTGGCACAGTTGCCAGTACATCCCAGCGAGCCTTCACTGCCTGCAACAAGGACGACACATGTTAAGTTCAAGCTAATATATTTCTGGAAGCCTTAACTTATTATTTTCTGTTACCAAAACAAGTGTACAACACGAGCCTCGGGATTTTGGGGAAGTTTTATTTTTAGGGTATTCTGTTTTCATTGTTATATTCTTACTCCAGTTTTAAGAGGAACTGGGCATGTAAACATAGGTCACAGCCTTGGGTCAGCTAAGTTCTGTGAAATTTCTGATGAACACCCATGAAAGAATCAGGAAGTTAGCCAAATACATCACCTCGCCCCTACAGACCGGGGCACTTGGATAGGTATGTGCTTAGTATAAGCAGTGCTGTAGGACATAGTGCTCACCAGGATTAAGACATAAGGTTCTGAAGTAAAATATACTTAAAACGTGTAAGGTCACTTGTTTACAGAGTATATTAGTCCCACTGACTTACAAGAGAAGTCTCCAAACATCTTTACCTTTCCAGTTTTCTGATAGGCAGCACTCACATGGGAAAGGCTTTAGCATTTACTTCTTACAGGATTTTTAAGCCTTGGCCCCTGCTCCTACTGGTAACACCTGTGGAGTCCTTTTAACATGCCTTCACAGTATAATCACTCAGGTTTCTGTGCTGTGAGGAGGTGTTAAAACACTCCAGCAGCGAGTAGTATATTTTGACAACTTCTTCCTATCAGTGTCCTGCTGTGAAGCGGAAGGCTGCAGTCCGGCAGCATGCATCTTAACAAGGCCTCAAAGCAGGCAAGCTTTTCCAGCATATTCTCAGAAAACTGATTGGAGTCGTATTTTGTTCTTTCCTTACCCTGTAATTCTTCATGAATTTGCAATGTTCACATAAAGAAAGAAAAGACCACTAAGCCACCAGACCAGAGGGCGCAACCCGTATGTTGTTTTATTGCCTTCCCCTAGGATCTGTACTAAATGTACATTTTACTGAAATTAGGGCTTGAAGCTGCTCCTTTAGCAGCACCACTTAACTGACAGTTCATCAGGGGCAGGCGAGTCCAGGCAGTGTTTCACCATCTTGCATCAGTTCACTGGTAAAGTGTGTAGGTTCAGTACAGTCTTCCCATGCTTTACAGGCTGCCAAGCGTCCACAATTAGTAACTCCGCTAAGGCACCTTCCTGTCCTAAATTGCTGAGAAGACACCGCTACAGAAACCAAAACCAAGTTCTCTGACACATCCCTCAGAGCATAGGATGGCACCTTGAAAGGACAAGGGCAGGGTGAAACTCATTTCTACAGTTTCAGTCATTCCTTGAACATATATATAGGCTTCAGAATCTTGCCCTTTTCAATAGCATTAAAATAATACAAGTTAAAAACCCAAGAACCTAAAAGAAGTTCTAAAATGTCCTCTTTGGAGCTATAAAAAGCCAACATTGATGCACTTCCTAATAGCGTCAAACATTTGAATGGCCTCGTTTCAGTCCCCAAGAGCATTTTACAATAGTGAAGTAGCATCCAGTTCAGGCTGTATGGTGATGTGTCATCTTCTCAGACACGAACTCCCGAGTACATCATCGGGTCACCCTGGGTTACCCCAAGAGGGGTTGCGTTAGCACTCTGTCCATAAATTGTTCTTTTAAGGAAAGATGCCGGAGCCATTATTGCGGTATGATGGGTTGGTATCCTGTGGTTAGCATGTGAAGGGTGCAAGAGTTGCCCACTGGTAGGTGGAGGATTTAAGAACCGAGCATCGTCAGCCAACCCAATAATAGGAAGGGATGGAGCTAGAGTCATGCAGACGTTGCTGGTCTGAGGACTCAAAGAGCTTCTGGTGGCAGAACTGGAACTGGAGAGGCGAGAAGGAAGATCAGGTTCTAGAAGCCAAGTCTGGCCAGGTGCAAGTCCACTTTGCTGCCCCTCCTCCTGGGATTTTAAGCATTTGCAGCAGCAAATTCCAACACAGGCACCGCCAACAACAAACGCCACAAATACAGATCCGACAAGAAGGAACGGCAGGTACACGGGCACTGAAAACGGAAGAGTGACATTAGCCATCCAGTCATTCACGGGTTATTGCAGATTATATGCTGTTCATCCCTAAGGCATGCATGCACCAGGGAGCAGGGCCAGAGCAGTTTTACTCCCAACTCTTCTCTTGCTGCAGCTGGCAACTGGCAAATCCTATGGCAGGCTCATTTGAAAAAGCCTAACATAGAGAGGGTCAGACCAGTCAGTCCCACAGAGCCTGCCATTGATATCCATGGAAGAGTTGGCCGGTACTCCAATGGCACAGCTACTGTGTGCTTGTGCATGTAACTGAGTGTTACAGTTAGTACCTAAACTGCTGTTGAGGTACGATGTAATCTGTGTTTGAGGGCTACAAGCATTTTTACAAGCCAGAACTTACATACATTACTTCGAGGCATCCACATGCGTAACAGAACATGCTTAGCAACACGCATGTTCCACCCAAGATACAAACATCAGAGGTGCTACCAGACTACTTTGGTAGTAGCTTATAAGCTTTTCAAAGAGTAGGACTGACAGCAAAGTCTTTTGGGTGAATCCCCAAGTCATTCCCTCTTCCCAAAGAAGGGAACGGGGTGGCTCTGGCCCACGCAGCCACCAAGATACCCACTGTGCCAAGGCTCCGCAGCCTTCTGCTGCAATGGAGCTTGGAGCTGCGAAGGACTGAGAAACAGAGGAAGGATCTGGCTGGTGCCACCAAGGGAAGGTTGCTACAGGGAATGCAAAGAGGAAAGCACGTCTGACATGGCACACACACACTCCCCACACCTGCTAGCGGCACAGGAAGCTTACCTGGCGCTGGAGGCCTGGGGCTGGGCTGCTGATGGTCACCAGGGCACCTCCCCTGGTCCAGACGGGCCTCTCGGGACGAGCAGCAGTAGCGCAAGCTGCAGGTCCCACAGCACAGAGTGGCTTCGGGGCCATCGTAGCGCTCAGGGCACTGGAAGCCGTGGTGCCAGCGCTGCAGGCTGCCCACCCAGCCATGGCAGTACTCCCCGGCCTGCCCAGGGCAGCACGCTGGGGCCAGCAGCAGCACCAGGGCCCAGAGAACTCCCCTTGCCATGGTGGGCCACGCAGGGTGTCTCTCCTCTAGCCACTTGATCCACACTGCCCCTTCTTTCCCCCTCTCTGTTTTTAAAGGCCAGGCACACCCCACCCCAGGCAGCCACAGAGTGCAGCACTCCCAGACCCCCAGCTGCCCACCAAGGCACTGCCTAAGCTCCTGTTTCAGGAGGTTTTATCTCTTGGCCTCTAATCCCCTTTCCTTACAGCAACAAAGAAGGACCCACTAATTGAAAACCATTTGCAGCTATTCCAGCTCCACCTTCCTCATTTCTCTCCCTCATTCCTGCAGGGAGCAGCCCCTGGCACATCTCACACTCCTGGGTAGGGATTTCGACTGGCACCGCATCCTGAGCAAGGCTAAGGAGTGCGGGATGCAGAAAGCCCAGGGCACGCCTGGGTACCAAAGCTTCATTCCTGCAGGGGCTTGTCAGTAGCTGAAGTGTCAGAGGTGGGAGCTGGGGACAACCCATGATGACAAGTGAGAAATAAAATTTCCAGAGCAGAAAGAAAATGCCGGGATAACCAGCTTCTAGTGGGCTCTAAAGTGAAATTGGTACAAACTGGTATGAAGGTAATTTTTACCGTGTTTAACATGGATAATCAATTACATAAATACAAGGAGAAGATTTTAACATGAAAATGTAGGAAAAATTAATTTTGAAAGCTCTAATTTCTGTCTCCATGGTTGAAAACCTTAGAGGCTGAAAATTTTAAAGGGTCTTTTGCACTTCTGCTTTCCCTACTCACAGTGCAATCCATGAATTCAAAATATGTTTCAGGGGACAAAATGCCTATTTTAGGATCTCCAAAAGTTTCACCTACACAGGAAAATCCTACAGCGTCACAAAGACCCCATAGAAGCACGAGAGTGGTAATGACCTCTTCGTCTTTGAACTAAAAATAAAACCAGAGCATCTGGGGTCTTTCCTAGTCCAAGTCTACCTACTCGCTGTACCACCAGACCCTGGTTCTGAAGCACGATCAGCCTGTGCTTAACTGCAGTGAGGAAGAAAACTGTTGCTAATTGAGCACTTTGAAAAGCAGGGGGTTAGGCAACATCTTTTGGGCCAATATCCTGGTAGCATGTAGCACTATTTGCAGCTTGCTGGAAGACTCTTGAAGATGCTTGAACAGACACAAAAGATGTCTCCCACACCATTTTTTAGGAATGTTGCCATCGATTGTAAAGGAAAGCTGTCCAATGATGCAAACTTTTAGAAATATTTGCCCAACATTATGTCCCTTCTGATGATTTTTCGTTTTAATATTAGATAGCAGCTTGCACATTTATGCTTTATTAACTATTTCATGGGTTCAGTTGAATCCATATTTCAATCTGCCAAAGACATCAGCGCTCATCACCTTTGCCAGTCAGTCAGCTTCATGCATCATTTTTTAACTGTCTTTTTGGCAAACATGGTTAAAGAGATCCTGGGATTCAGAAATGTTAAATGAAACCTCTGTTTAGAACTACAGACCTTTCCAAATGCTGCTGAGTGCACTGAGATATGCATTTTGCCCTTCTGCATTTCAGCTCTGCAAGTGTAACTGCAAGGCTGACTGCGTGGGACCAAATCCTATTAATCCATGGGCACAAACCAGAAAATACTGAGCAACCCCAACACTCTTTAAAAAAGACAGCCAGAGGTGAGCAATGTGCTATCTTGTATAGAATTTCCAAGCACTGAAGTGATACCTTAAGCCCAAAACTGTATTTGCCGTAAGGCAAGTTCTAGCTTATTCACAGATTCAACTCCAGCACTATTAGGCCAGACTAAATACAAACTTTTATTATTTGCTCTTGTGGGAAAAAGCAGCCTCAGATAGCCTTTAAGCATGAGCTTAGCCCTTTGCAGAGTTCATCATAATAAGATACCTCAGTAAAGGTAATGGGATGCAATTATTTCTTCCCATCTTCTACTTTAGAAGAGTATAAAGGCACCACTAAGCCAGGTATTCAAATGCTAAGAAATTCCTAAAGCCGGTTGCATTAACACCTTGAATGAGGGCTGCCCTGACATGATTCCCTCTCTCTGCATACACACCATCTTTAACAACATGTATTATTTTTTCCTGCGTGGGATTACACTACCTCACTTAGCAGGGATAAACTCTTGGAGACTAAACGCAGAGCTCCGATTCAGGGTCTGCATGTGTGTTTGTGTGTGTTCCGGGGGGCATTTGTTTCCCGATTTAAAAGCTCTGATCTTCATTTTGTCATAGACTGTGCTGCGATGTCCACTTCACGGCTGCAGAAGCAGATAAACGTAATTGTGTATAAAAAATGTATATGCTTACATAACTTGTGACCCACTTTGAATTTTGACAGGATAAAAAGGATCTATTGGGATGCTGGTTATGAACTACAGGGGTAAATCATGAATAAATTCTTGCTCTAATTCCTTATGTTCAGTCACGTTCAGCTTTCTTAGTCTTTCACCTGCCAGGGTGAAATTTTTCATGCTTGTCCTTTGCCAGCTTTGGGGAAGTTTTAAACAAAAGCAATCCAGCCTGTTTTGCATGAGAGGACAGTGATGATGGTTTCCCATTATTAACAACAACAAACAATCTTGTTACCTTTCCTGAGTATCCCTGCAGCCAAAACAGCTTGAGCCTTGCATTTACAAGTTACCATGGAAATAGCCCTTCGAGAGAAGTCTTTTTTGTTTCATGTGAGGGTTGTTTCTCTTATTTAGGGAAATGTACATTCCCCTTCGTGAATTTTATGTTGGCAGCAAGATGATTAAAAATTCCTGATATTCTAAGCAGAAAGCAACTGGAAACTTCCCGACGTGCAGCTGCTTTGCCTTTTGCTATTGCTCAGGATCCGTATTTTACCGTCTTCTATAACGTTGAAGGTTGAACTCTGCCACCAGATTTCAGGTATGTTCTTGTCATTTCTTAATGCCAAGCGAACATGCAATACGGGACAAGAAACCAGGGAAGAACTAATCCCTCTGCTAACAGCAGCCGGGAGTGCAATGGCCAGATCCTCTGGGCTGCTGAGCACTTCTCTCCTGATGCTGCGTGTGCTGCTTCCCCCTGACATCAGGTGCGTCGGCGCTGGCCCTAAACAAGATCGCAGTGAGAATGTCCTACAGTAACTTAGTTCTTTGCATTTCATGAGCGTGGCTCTGAGTAAATGCTGCCTGGGAGAAATTATGCAAATATTCCATGACAGGTAGCCAGGCACTCCATATACTTTATTTTTAACGGGCTTTATGTGCATTACCAATGCCAGCTGCCTCCAGCTGTTAGCTGCAAGGCTGGGGGGCCCTCTGCAACTCGTTATTCCTCTGAATGCTTCCACGCGTGATGGTGGAGCGTGGATGTATGGTGCTGGCCAGAGAGCCTCGGAGAACCAAGGTTTCCCTTTAACCACCGAACACACAGCAACCTCCTTCTCCCTGATCTCCCCGCTGCCTTTCCGCACACTGGAAGATTAGCACAAGACAAGGAGTGAGGTGAGTGGGAATGTCGAAGTGAGAGAGGCTCAAAGGTGAAGAACGAGAGAATCAGATGTGTCTAAGCAAGGAAACTAGGGATGAGCTGGGAGGAGCGAGTTGGCAGGGAACCAGACTTGGGAGACTGAATCGTGGCGTGAATGGGGAGCCTGGTAAGGAAGACCGAGTCAAGACATGTACGAAGGACTCCTGGGAGACTGCGTGCCATGGCAGGAGAAAACTAGCTGGAGCATCATGGAGTTCAGCTACCTGGCTGCTTTAAAGATATTAGGGACTTCTGCCTGCCTCACCCTGTGCTGCCCATGCAGATGTAGTTCCCCTATGGTGAGAGGTTTAGGGGAAGAGGGAGACTGGGACTGAGCGGGCAGAATCACAGTAGGAGCCAAGACTCAGGAAAGATTGATGGTTGTGATTTAGAGGGAAGAGGCAGGGACCGGCTGCCCAAGGCAGCTGGGATGGAGCAAAGGAGCCTCGCTGGGAGATTTCTGAGCCCAAACTGTGCCTCGTGGAACTGCAGAGCAATGCTGTCTCATACCACTGAGCAGTTCCCTTCTCACTAAGGTGTTGAGGCCTGATTTTCCACTCACATTCGTATAACGCAGCTGCAGGGACTGGCACACAGGCTGGTGCTAGCAAGTGAGAGGCCCAGGGAGCAGTCTCCTCCTCCTGGCTCTGCATAATGCAGGCAGGGAGCTCCCTGCAGTGACTGCTTGCTAGCTGGAGATTTGCCCTTTAACAAGTCCCTTTATTAGTAATTAGGTAGTATTGCTTTATTATGTTATAATGAAAGGAAGTGAAGAATGCAGGAAAATAAAAGTAATTCAGGGTAGAGCCAGGAGGCCATGTGCCGAGGTGATGGGCAAGCACACATCTTTATTACTGGGGGTTGATTAGTGAAGGGGTGTCATCCCTGAACCTGGGGGCATGCTGTGGATGCCCACTCAGCAAAATCCATGCTCTGCCATTGTAATTAGCATTACAGGAAAAGCTAATGATTGCTTGAATGTTTAATACAATGAAGAAGAGAAAGCTGCACTATCAACGGTTTCCTGAAGATACAGATTTAAACCTGGTATCAGGTTTTCTTTTTGTACCAAGGTCTCCTCATGTTATCGAGAAAAAAGCTCTCTAACGCAGGCTTGCGTGACTTCATCTGTTCTGTAAATGCTTTGGCCAGGTTTTAGATGAAAACAGACTAGGGAAGAAAACTCGCAGACCTATAAGCTTATTAGTTTCAGAAGGGTCACAATCTCTGCATGTTTTACCTAGAAACAATTATGGCCTATTAGAAGCCTGTTGGTTGGCTTTAGTGCTCATGTGAGCAGTGTCCTGCTGATGCACGGCTTCACTTTATCAACACGAGCGCAGGTAAGAATGATGCCAGAGCAGGCACGGTGAAGCACGAGGAACAAGAAAGCACTAGAACTGCAAAGCTCTCCAATATACTTCTTGGGTTTTCTTCTTTTTAAGCAGGTTAGCTTCTTTCTTGTTTCCACTGAGCTGCAAATTGAACTGTCAATGTTAGAAATGTCCG